CTCTCGAATTTTATGTGGGTTATTATTTCGCGGGGAATGCAGCGTTTTAGATAGATACTGGGTATGCGGCACGTCACAAGTGCTCAGATCAGGCATTTCTCTGAGGGAACGTGGCCCGCGAAACAGTTTGTTATCCCTCCACGACTCGCCGTAACTTTCTCCCATCTTTCCACCAATGAGCTCGCTAAAGCAGCTGAAGACTGCGTGATAGGAAAGTCTATGGCTTAATACAGCGGCAAGTGTCTCTTTTGGGATGCATCATCGCAACCCTCGACGACAGCCTTAATTCCCAGTGTCATTAAAGGAGAATTGGAAGAGCGCAATATAACTTCTGCGTCCCCGAGGATGGTCCTTAATCTCCATCGAAATTAATAAAGATTCTTGTAGGTGGCTGAGGGGGGAGCAGTCTTTTTTCTGGCGGTGATGGATGATGCTTGTAAGATCCCAAACTGCTTCTCGAAGGTAACCTGCTTGACTCTGGGATTCATCAAGAAGATGTTGTCACTCTTCGTTCCGGTGTACAAGAAACAAGCCTGTCTCTGGCTTCGCATTTTTGTCCCGTTCGTTTATGCCTTTAGGGGTGCTTGCAAAAGAAGGGGGTCCTCCGGACAGATGTTAAAATTCAATCTCTCTTCTTCTTCAGAAGTTTTCATTGGTAAATCTGTCATTTTAAGCTTACGAAGATGTCACTGTACAAGAGACCAGCCTGTCTCCAGCTTTGTACTTTTGTTGGTCTTGTTCGTTTGTGGGTGCTGGCAAAGGGAGAGTTTTAGAAATTCCTATTCTCTGAAATTTTATGATTATTCAGAAGTAAAGTCTTTATTGGTAAAATGTTATTCTTCGTTCCGATGTACAAGAAACAAGCCTGTCTCCAACTTTGTATTTTTGTTGGTCCTGTTCGTTTATGGGTGCTTGCAAAAGGAGGGTGTCCCACGGGAAAGTTTTAGAAATTCCAACTCTCTGAAATTTTATACTCATCCAGAAGTAAAGTTTTCATGAGTAAATCTGTCATTTTAAGCTTACGAAGATGTCACTCTTTGTTCCGATGTACAAGAAACAGGCCTGTCTCCAGCTTCTTATTTTTGTTGGTCCCGTTCATTGGGGATGCTCGCAAAAGGAGGGGGTCTTGGACACCCCCGGAAAAGTTTTAGAAATCCCAACCCTCTGAAATGCAATTTCTGACTTTTTCAGAAGTAAAATTTTTCTTGTTAAATCTGTCATTTTAAGCTACAAAAAATATGTTTTTCATGTCATGAAGTTCATGATGTTTTTGATGGATGGTGAAATTTTTGTCTGCCCCAACAAGCAAAGTTTTGTCCCAGGACAAAAGGGTAGGTCTTAAAAACAGCGCCTGGAGTCATGAAAAATTTCTCAACTCAACATCTAACGAATGCCTGTACAAGTATTTTTTTTCAGAACTGGGAATAGAGAAGGCAAATATATAAAGAAAAATGTGTGCCCTTCATGCATAAGCGAGTGACTTTTGCAGTTCTTTCTGAAGATTAGCTGTGCCGTGTGTTGATTGGCTCCCTGCGGAAACCCCGATGATATTTTAAAAAGCTCTCACCCAGGGTGTGACAGGTCCCCCGCCGCGGTGACTCTCCCCACGAGAGTTCTCGAGCGCGCTTTGATCTCACGGAATATTACCAACTGTAGGGGAATTGACATTTTCCAATGCACCGCAGTGTCTAGTCTTGTGGAAAATAGTGGTCCGGAGAGGGCTCTATCCTCCTTTTGTTCTCCTCTCGGTGGGACGCAGCCTTCTTTAATCATCGCAAAGGACATGCGTAACAGCCTTACCTGCCTCCCGCAGGTGCATGTAAGACTTGACTAAGTGTGTCTCTGCCTCCCACATCTAAGGAGCATTGCGAGGGATGTTTCCTTTGGTTGTATTCCCTCGTTCGGAGGCATCGCCTCTCGCGGCTTTCGCGAGATAAAAGTTGCAGAACTCGGTCGTAATAAAATGGTTCTCCGAGGATGCGCTGTAATGAAAGCAATCCTTTTCTGCCATAAGAGCAGCGTCTCTAATGGGTCCCAGGCAAAATTAGAATGCCGCTTGATGGATCATTTGCATCTCATTGTCGCTCTCGGAAGGATTCGTTAAACCGAGGAATATTGGGGGAATTCCCGGGTCGGCTGGTGGCAGGAAGTCAAGACGACGTACTGTGTCAATGACAACTTCTGGAATGGATCGCATGTCTGAAGTTCAAGCGTCCCAGCGTGATTTGACAAGGGAGGGGGAAGCGGTTTGCCGAGGTGACAGCCAAAGGGCGGCATGTGTACGCTGCCTGGTGGATAATGAATGAATCGGGTACCATCACTCCCATGCATCATTATTATAGACCAATCTTCTCGTCTCTTGTCAGGCTTAGGTGTTATCTGTTCGAAAACTAACAGAAGCACCAATTTGTGTAAGTGGAAAATTTACTGAATTTTCACTTAAACTTTTACTCCCATTGATCATGCGAAACTTGGGAAAGGCAAGGCTTTGAACTGTAAGTGATGACAAGGAAATCAGATTGAATGAGTGATGGCCTGTGGTTGATGCTACTGATCTTGACATGTGCGACATTTCTTCAATCTCCCATGCATTGCACAGTAACATGAAATCAGTCTGTACCATTATTGCATTGTTGGTGAATTTTGAAAAAAGCACTAAATTGGTTGCCTCTTGCACCACAGTAAATTGTGTTGTTGGAATTTAAATTTAGTAAAAAAGAGCAGAATTTGTAGTAAAACGTTGAACTTTATTCCAACACACAATTACACAGGGATCAAAATTGTGTTGGAATAAAGTTCCACGTTTTACTATGATTACTACCAACACAGATGAACTTCCATGAGAACAGAATTTAAACAAAGTAGAAGAAGAGTACTCCGTCAAAAATCTCTCATTGGCAGACAGATACAGACAGTCTAAAAAAATTATGACTCTCCCCCAGCATACATTTATGTAACATCCAATGCAGTCTACATGGTGCCACATGAAAATGGATCATGAGCCCAATGAAATACTGTTTAATTAGCTGAAAACAAGAAACGCGGGATTGCTATTGCTGAGTCTCAGCAAACTCACATCCATCTTCCGTCAACCTTACTAATTAAAATTTAGAGCACCAGAACAATTAAGACGTAGAGCTTTTGACAAGTTACAGATTACTAAGTGTATAGACTGCTATGGTTATAGATTTGCGATTCCTGTATTGCAAAGTCTTTTGTGATACATGGGAAGCTTTCGGGTATCCTTTGGTCAATTGCCAAGTGATTCGTCAAAGGGATGGTGAAAAAGATGTATTGTGCTGCCATGTCGGCATTATTTAGCTTAACAAGGAGATCAGAGGATTTGGTTTTCTTGGCTTTACAGATTAATTGGTGGCAAATCTTTGCTTCACAAATCCTCCATCACCCAACAGACATACGTTTATAATTCTATGGGGATCGTGGTAAATTTATACGCCTTATATTTTATATTCTGGCTGGTTTATAGGAGAATAGGGACCAGCAGTGTAATTCTCAGTAGGCCCTTTGGCATAGACATGTAGTTTTAAGAACTCTATCTTTCTGAGTGAGTATCTTTCTTTGATAGATTGTTTTCCGAGTTAGCAAAGACCTTAGACTAATAGGTTTTTTCAGGTAAATGGTAGAGGTAAATGTTCCCTTTAAAACTCAGACCAGTATTTGGCATTTCTGAATGTATTATGATACGAAAGTGGAATGATCCAGTATTGTTGGAGGAAAATATTGTTATCACTTAAGTTTTTTACTTGCTTTTGGCACTTACAATGCTTTGAACCAAGAACATTATAATGTCCTTGTTACCTTCGCCAAGAAGGTTATGTTTTCAGTAGCGTTTGTCTGTTTGTCTGTCTGTTTGTGAACAGCATAACTCAAGAAGCTTAATATGTATTGTCATGAAACTTGGTAGGTGGGTAGGTCTTGATGAGACCTAGAAATGATTAGATTCTGGGCCCCCTGGCGGCTTTTGTTGGTACTGCAGCAGAACTTCCGGTTTTGATATCTCGCGATCTGGACATGCTAGGGTCACGAATTTTGGTTGGTAGATAGCTCTTGGGCAGGGGAAGAAGTGACCTGAGTTTGGACCCCCTAGCGGCTCGTTCTGGAACTGCAGGAGCGTTTCTTGAAAAATCTCCGAAGGTTGATAACTCAAGAACCGGTTGACGGATTGTCATGATTTTTGGTATGTAGGTAGCTGAAGTGATACTTGACATAATCAGATGACAATTATGCAAATCAGGAGCTAATTTGCATAATTAATGAGGACATTCTATAAATCTGCTTCGTTCGATTATAGGACTTTGAAACACTTGTGACATGTAATTGAGAACTAGAAAAACATCTGAGGATATAGATTATGTAAATGAAGACCTAATTTACATAATTAATGGAAAATTGTTATAATTTCATAGTTGTAATTGCTGGGAATTTCATACTTGCCGTATTTGGAAGTTAAGTGAAGGTGAACATCAATGAAGATAATTTATTCACATTATGAACTCATTTGCATAATTTATGAGGAAGTGCTAGAATAGCCTATTTTGTTAAGATAAGGCTGCCATTGGGTAGAGAATATGATCAACTGATGTAATCCATGCGAATGACGCTCTTATTTGCGAAATCAATTATTAAAATTGTATAATTCGTCAACCGCAAGGGTTAACATCATTTGGCGAAGGTATGAGATCGTGGAACTCTTGTTTGAACTTACTTTCCTTATTTTGCCATACAGAGTAAATTACTTGTTCTCTGGGCTATGAGTTTTGTCATGCCCCCTGTCATTTTTATGACATAGTGCAGATGCTGTTTTTTTTTCAAAATCTTGCAAATATGCAGGGCTCCAATTGCAAAGTGTTGTTTTTCACATTGCTGCAAAATTTAACTGCAGCAAACTTAACTGAATAATTATGAATAAATTATGCAGTATTTTACAGTAATTTTTTGAAGTCGTAAATAAACATTCAGTGGTCTCTTCCTAATCCCAGATGTAGAAACCATGGTGCTGAGGAACCCCTGGGGACAGGCACCTATGGAGGTGACGGAGGACAGCCTTGATGGTGTAGAGTACTTGGATGAGGAACTCGAGGGCGTCCCCAACGGCCCGTATCCGTGCCAGTTTTGTGAGAAAACCTTCTCCCGGCTCACATACCTCAAACGGCATGAACAGATCCACAGTGACAAAATGCCCTTCAGGTACAATAAGTAACTTTATGTGTTTCTCCGTTGCCCTGTGATTCTAATGTAAAGGAATGTATTCAACATACAGTCAATTGTATATATGGATGTCAAAAGTGCAAACAAAAGCAATATTGGTCCCTCTTGCAATGGGACAGAATACATACATGTATGTAATACGTATTAATAAATGTGTCCTCCTTTTCCCTCCACTTCCTTGAGAAAATGTATGCAACATATTTTCTTTAACTTACTACTGGTAATGACTCCCAGCATCTGCTTTTTCAAATGTGAAAATTGTAATGATTTCTAACAGTCATCAATGCACGACCCAGATAAATTGAATTAAGATATCAGAATCATTATTGCATGATTATGAAAAGATATATCTTCGTATTTGACGCTGGCCACTGTTTGTTGCCCTGGTGAATTATGCTTAGGCGGTACAACAGAGCTGGAACAACTGGTAGCAGGGTATTTGTTCTTGAAATACATCGTCTTTTTTTTACCCCCGGTATCGTTTTCCTTAGGCTGTAATTTTCTCCCTTGCATTTTGTATGGGAATGAAAAAAAAAGACAAAATTACAATGTATCATACTTTTATAGTCATAAAATTATTATGTTTTTGTATAATCGGTTTGAGTTTGACTTCTGTTTTCTGTTTTATTTTTTGTTGTTTTATGACAGATGATAGTGTTTTAACGTATACCTTTATAGTCAGGAAATTATTTTGTTTTTCTATAATTGGTTTTAATCCTGTTTTGTGTTTTTGTTTTCTGTTGTTTTGCACCAGATGTGAGTACTGCCTCCGGTTGTTCAAGCACAAGCGCAGTCGTGACCGCCATGTCAAACTTCACACGGGCGACAAAAAGTACCGCTGCACTTACTGCGACGCTTCCTTCTCCCGCAGCGACCACCTCAAGATCCACCTGAAGACCCACAACTCCGACAAGCCCTACCGCTGCGTCATCTGCAACAAGGGGTACACGTCCGTGGCCACCCTCACCGCCCACGCGCAGGCACACCACAAGGTTTCCGACAAGAAGGACGAGTTCCGTTGCTTCCAGTGCACGGAGGCGTTCGACTCGGCGGGCGAACTGCAAGCCCACGTCGTCACGCACGAGCATGTGAACAGGAAGATGACGCAGTGTAGCTACTGCGGGGACGTGTTCAGCTCGATGGAGGCTCTGATCCAGCACATGGAGGACAGGCACGCGAAGGACAAGAGAAACAAGTGTCCGCTGTGTTCGGAGTGTTTTCTCACAGCGGAGAAGCTGCATGAACACATGGAGGCTCACGGAGAGGAGGGCACCATACACCGCTGCCCCTACTGCCCCAAGCAGACCTTCCCCAGCATCGCAGTGTTAGAAATACACCTCCGTACCATGCATGGTGACAAGCCAGTGTACGGCCACCTCTGTCAGTACTGTAACAAGGAGTACCCCACCCTGATCAACCTGGCCAATCATATAAAGTGCGACCACCAGAAGGAAGCGCTCGGCACCGACTTCTCCGACACGCGGTATCCCTGCGATTACTGCACGATGGACTTCGGGAGCGCGTCCCTGCTGTACACCCACGTGAAGTTTGTCCACTCCCTCTCGAAGTCCTCGCTAAAAGAAGACAGCAGTGTGGTGTACTGTCCGCAGTGCACTATGGGTTTCGCGACCATGGCGTCGTTCAACGAGCACGCAGAGGAGGTTCACGGAGCGTCAAGCCTCTCCCCAATACCCAGCTCCACTAACAGTGTCTTGAGTTCGCTCCTGAACGAAGGAAGCATCAACCTTCCCCTGGAAGAAGGCCTGAGGTATCCCTGCCCTTACTGTCCTGAGGGTATGAACCTCTTTTCCAACTTCGACTTGTTGCGAGACCATGTACAGGAGCAGCATGGGACTAGAACACAGTGCTCTCCGGTGGCAAGCACCCCACCTGCACACACAGCGACCAACGTGAAGGAAGAACCGAAAAAGCCAACCTCGGGAGAGACAGGACGAAAGAAGAAAACACATTCAGAAGAAAAGAACTCCGTAGAGAGAAACGGGTTCTTTTGTTCGCAGTGCGACGTCAGCTACCTGACGCTAGAAGCTTTCCAAACTCACCTGAAGACCCACCTAGATATGCTGCTACAGAAGCCACCGTCGTACCGAAAGTGTGGGGTGGAGTTTACATCCGAAGACCAGATGCTGCAGCACATGTTGGAGCACTTCATGACCATAGCGACCGAGTACGGCTGCCAGACTTGTGAGAAGACGTTCGTCAAAGCGGACGATCTTCAGAAGCACCTGTTCGACATCCACGCCCACCACCTGTACCGGTGTTCCCTCTGTAAGGAAATGTTTGATTCCAAAGTCTCCATCCAGGTCCACTTTGCCATCAAGCATAGCAACGAGTGTCGCCTGTACAAGTGCACCAAGTGCTGGGGGATGTTTCCCTCGGAGGGCGAGCTGGTGGCCCACATCAAGACGACCCACCTCCACAGCAAGCCCTTCCGCTGCATCTTCTGCCAGGAGGCGTTCAGCTCCGACTTGGAGCTGCAGTGCCACGTCACCACCCACAACAAGCAGTACCAGTGCCACCTGTGCGAGGCCTCCTTCCATGTACAGTTCTTATTAGAGAAACACGTGCTCGAGAAACACAGCTGTCCCATGGAGGACGGAAAGAAAGGGGCTCGGAGCGAAGAGGAGTCAGAGTCGCAGAGCAGTCCGAGCACGAGTACGAAGAATGACAGTGAGGAAGCGACTGAAAGAGTGAGCCCCGACGAAGACAAGCTCGTGTACAAGTGTGACGTCTGCGACGGGACTTTTACGTCAGAACGGAAGCTGAAGAACCACCGGTGGTCGATCCACAAGCTGAAGCCTCACCACAAGGGCAACAAGGATCTCCTCTTCCGCTTCCACTGCGGTGTGTGTTCGGCTGCCTTCCAGTCCGAGTACGGCCTCAAGAAGCACCTCAATGAAAACCACCAGAACAACTCGGCCGGCAAGGTTCTCCTGGAGGGTATGAAGGACTCGCTACCTGCCGGAACCCCCCCGCAAGGGTCCATGTGCTTCATCTGCATGCAGATCGTGATGACCGAGGAAGAGTTTGTGCACCACTGCAAGGAGCACAACCCCGACATCGCGAACGAGAGCGGCGGCTTCCGGTGCGTGATCTGTCTCCAGTTTGTGCCGAACATGGCCGAGCTGAACCACCACGCGGCCGTGCATCTGCTCGCAGCGGGCCTCGGCTCCCCTAACTCCATGGCCGTGTACATCTGCAGCACCTGCAAACGCGAGTTCACCTCACGCGCTCACCTCGTCTCCACCCTAAAGTCTGGGTCTCCGCCCAGCTACATGTGTACGGATTGTCTGAAGGAGGCCATCGAGGACAATTCTGACGAAAGTCTTGTGACCGACGTCTCCCCCAACAGCCCCCGAACTGTTGTCCACTGCTCCAAGTGTGAACTGAAATTCGAGACACAGAGAGAACTGGACCTACACCTTGCATCCTCACACCCTGCAGATAAATCCTATCAGTGTATCAAGTGTCAAAAGACCTTTGCAACAGAAGTAGAGATCCAGATTCACGTGACAACCCACATGATGGAAGAAGGGACCGTCCATGAATGTACCTTGTGCAGGGGGGTTTACGATTCCCCTGCAAAGTTGCAAGCCCACCTCATTGAACACACATTCCCCGATAAGAACTACCAATGTCTGATATGCGGAGGGAGATTCGCCACGGCACAGGACATCCAAAGTCACGCGATAGACCACGGGCCCGACGCAAGAAAGTACCACTGCCCCCACTGCACTTTGACATTCTTTTTCGAAGCCGAGCTGCAGAACCATTTGCTGAGTCACAGCGAAGTCACCCCGGGTAATTTCCAATGCCTCGAGTGCGGGCAGATGTTCAACAACAATGTGAACCTCAGCAACCACCTGAAAATACATGCTTCGAAGGACAAAACACTGAAGTGCTCCCTGTGCCCTGAGGTTTTTAACTCGACGGGCGAGATGCAGCATCACCACTTCTCCATCCACAGCGAGTCCGACATTGCGACGGCGAAAAAGTCCTTCAAATGCAGCCAGTGCGACAAGGTCTTCCCCTGCATGAGCAATCTTCAGGGCCACATGCGCATCCACACGCAGGGAAAGAAGTTTCCCTGCCCGGAGTGCAGCAAAGTGTTCGCCCTGGCCCGGAACTTGACCATACACATGCGGTCACACTCGGGCGAGAAGCCTTACCAGTGCCCGCTCTGCGAGAAGAGGTTCGCGAGAAAGGAAAACCGGAAGGTCCACCTGAAGTCGCACAGCGGGGTGAAACCTTTCATGTGCCCGCACTGCGGCAAGATGTTCTCGCGCAAGTGCCACGTCAAGGACCACATGCGCACGCACTCGCTGCCCACCATGCACCAGTGCCCCGCCTGCAGCGAAGCCTTCACCATGGAGAAGAACCTGAAGAGGCATATGAAAAAGGTCCACAAGTTGGACGTGTCAGAAGAAGAGGAGCAAGACTGAACTGTTAGCTAGATTCGGCCTGGCAATTCTAATTACAGATGACACACATGTACAGTTACTGCTGTGTACCAGTACATATGTACAGTTACTGCTGTGTACCGGTTCCCTAGACTGGTTCTGGACTAAATATTTAGGCTCAAGTCAAAAAAAAAACAACTATAAGTCAAGAACCGATCCCGTAGCCTGGAGTCCAGCCTTGTTAGATTTGCTAAGCCTACGGAGCAAAGCTAACAAGGCTGGACTCCAGGCTACCGATTCCAGACTTATTAAAAAAAACATTTGTCGCATACCCCTTTTCTTTCCAAACCACTCAAAACCTTCCATAGATCAAACTCTGTGCTGCAAAATGAACAAAACATTGCTATTGGACATCATCAAGTGTTAGCATCCATGTTATATGGAAACTTTTTTGTCCAAACAACATTGCAAGGTTGCCAACATGAATTTTGTATATGCCATGGGTTTATGTCCGGATTAAGTGTGGGTTTAGGTACACAGCACTATGTACAGTACATGTCTGGTAATGCAATCCTAGGCAAAAGCTTTTAAAATTTGGTGACAATATGTTGTATCAAGCTCAGCACACCTCCAATATTGTATTTTCTTGTCAACATTTTGTCTGCTTGTAAAAAATGGTAAATTGTAAACAATACATTCTATCAGCTAAGAACCAAGAGGGAGCATGCTTTACATGTTGTTGGGTGAGTTTTATCTTTAAAAGTGATACATATGTATTTTAGTACACTGCATTCTGACGATGATGTATTCTGATGAAATGAATCTCAATGATATGAGCTGTATCAGTAAAGTTAATGCCCAGAGTGACAAATTTTGAAGTACTATTTAAAATTGAATTGAATTCTCCAAAAGTACTGTGTCAAAAAAGAGACTTGTTCTGCCACTTCCTTTATTCCAGTCCTACATTTTAATGATGATGATGTAAGAGATCTGTATGTTTATGAATTAAAAGTAATAAGGTTTTTGGTAATTTACTGGTTATCACTGTTAAGATTCAAAGTACAATCTAGATTGTAGCTGAGCCTATACATAGGACATTCTAGTTGCAGATTTTTGTGACAAGAGTTAGTTCATAGATACTAGTAGCCTGGATGCCATCTGATTTGTAATGGCAACCCAAAAAAAATTTGCAGTTATAAATTGGATGGCACCCAGGCCAGGTCATAGATAGTATGGTTAAGACATACTTGTAGTTGTTTTATGTACTGAACTGTAAAATATTATGAATGGTGAAGGTGCTAAGCACCAATATTCTATTTTGGCCAGTACAGTTGTATCAATACAAATGTATAATAGGTGACAGTATGTGTGCCAAATGTGCAAAACATATTGAGACGATATTCCAGTTTTTGATCTAAAATGTACATTGCGTTCACTACTAGCTTCTCATGTTCTAGTTATTTACACTTTGTTTGTATGATAAGTAAGTGCACTTTAAGTTAGAAGGTCTTTAATAGGAAGGCTTATATACTGTTGAAGGAAAGTACATTTGTATTTGTATTATTTTTGTATTATATTACTACAAGAAGGGATGTTAGAATAGGGCAAATGTATTTACAATCGCTTGCGAGGTGCTGTAGGTCTTATGAGAACTTAAAGTAAAGAATTTTATGTAGTGTTCAACAGTAGAATCTTTCAAAAAGTGTGGTATGACGCTCTGTTGCTTGATATTCCACGCAAAGGACTAGAATGACAGTGTTTAGGCAAATTATTCTTACTGTTTGGAAAAAAAGAAATGTTTCAGCCAGGAGACGCAAAAAGTTAAGACAACAAGGCAGGTTGTAAGTTTTGGGGGTCTTCAGGGTCTTTGGGAGCTTTTATGTGCTATTTTCTGATTGCATATAGACAACATAGCCGGCCTGGTTGAATTACCCCCGGTTTTAGAACTGGGCTAATCAGAAAACAGCCGAAGACCACCAAACCCCCAGTTCTATAACCCTACTACGGAGGCTAGCAGGTTGTACCATGGCATAGTATCCAGAAGTCAGAAGTGTGACATGGTATGTAAGGTGTGCTGAAATGTGTGCTCTGTCACGTGTATCATTCAGGATGCAAAAATATTGTCTGCTGAGAGTATGTGAATAAAATCAGACTGACCATAAGTGGTAATGGCATTTATCAGTATTTGTGTTGGAGTCATTGTCTAATAAATTTCTATATTCTTAAGAATTTTTAAAGAAGTATAACGTTAATGAGAAATGAACTGTTCTCAAATTTGAAAAATGGCTCACCCGAATTTTATTTCTCATTCTTTAATTTACCAACTAAGCTGAACTTTCATGCTAGGGTATGATGTACATTGTAATATCATAATTTATACCAATTTGTATAATCTGCTTTGTATAACATTATTTCATGAAATATCAAGAATACATAAACAAATTCCAACAGACTGATAATATTTCAAGGAGGTATAGTATCCGTCAACAAGAATTCGAAGAATTTCAACCAGTTATATTCAGATAGCCCGGCGTCGGGAAACATCACAATCTACCACCCCAACATCTGCTTGGAGATTACCCAGCATGCATCGGAGTGTTGTGGCGGTTTCACTCAGATCAGATCAGTTTCGTTGCGTTTCGTCTCCAAATTTGCCTCGGTTCTTCGACTCTAAAACAGCCAGTATGTCAAATATTCTGTATTCTAGATCGACACGGAACTAGTACGTAGCCTTGATGAAGCTAAATGCATCCCTAGATCCAGAGGGGTTTTGCTGCAATTCTTTTTTTGAGTAGCGCAAAAGGACGCCAAAAAGATGTCTGCCTCCACGTCGAGTTCAGAACTGTCAGACAGAACGCACGGGTTTGACAAAAACGCCACTACTGAGGACGTCCTCGCCTGGATCTTGGAGTATGCCTGTAAATACGGGCAGAATGAGGTGGTCAAAGGTTAGTTGGGTTCGATGATAATTTTTGCACTACTAAGTCTATAACGTTATATTTTTGAACTGCAAAGGGGGAGGGGGGCGTAGGTTCATTCATTCATATCTACCTTGAAGATAACACTAACAGTTAACCAGCTCCAGATGGGCTGTTGAAGATCCAGATGTAACGTTTTATGTGCCTGGAACGATCTTCCAGGTTAGTTGAATACATAAAAATATTGATGAACTGCAAAAAATGAAGTATGACAGGGTTGGACAAGTCCTATTGCCCACTTGCCCAGGGCAAGTAAAAGTACTGTTCGGGCAAGTGAATATCCCCCTGCACTTGCCCGATTGGACAAGTAAATTTTTAGGATGCATAGTATAGCCCCTGCAGTATTTTGACCAAGTTTGAAACAATTTTGATAAATTAAGCATCCAACATTATAAAGTTCTATTATAATAAAATAATTTCATTTCTGCTAGTAAAACGCATAGAAATGCTTCATATTTTGGGCAAGTGAAAAGTTGGTTTGGGCAAGTGGAAATGACCAGGTACTTGCCCGATACGGCAAGTGGATTTTTGAAAACTTGTCCAACTCTGTATGAGCTAGAGCAAGGACATACAGTAATGCCCTTGCTCTAGCTCATACTTCATTTCGATGAAAGCTTCTTGGCTAGAGGGGGCTGTGGTAACATTTCCTTGGGGATATGTTGGCCCTGGAGCTAAGAATCAAGAGTAGAGTAGAGTAGATCTTTCGTCTCGGTAGGAAGTTCTCTTCCACTTTGAGCCGCTCCTTGTAGTTTACTGCGTAGACATGGTCATCTTGTGGGGGTTGTCCAATGCCCGGGGGTTGTACACCACTGGATGACTTCTCATGTGTTTGTCCAGTCTATTTTTAAAACTGTTCACACTTGGGGCTGACACCACCTCTTCCGGTAGACTGTTCCACCATGTTACTACCCTGTTGCTGTAGAAAAACAGTCTTTTGTTGTTGTTCACTGATCTTTTGTTTAGTCGTAAGCTGTTCCCTCTTGTTCTTGTTTTTTCTTGCATTTTTGGTAGGCAACCCTCTGTGTCCAACTTCCCATGGATGTATTTGTAGGTCATGATCATGTCCCCACGTATCCTTCTATATACCAGTGTCGGGAGCCTGAGCACCTTAAGTCTCTCCTCATATGGTAGATTGTTTAGACCAGGCACCCTTTTACTTGCCCTTCTTTGTACGTTTTCTATTTGGTCGGCCTGCTTCCATTGGTGTGGAAGCCTGTATACTGTTTTCATACCTTTATGCCGTCTTCGGGATGAGGAGGCTCTGCCTGGCAACAGTCTGGCACCCAGACTACAATAATTCTCTGGTTATTATAACCACAGACCTTCAACTTGACATACAACCCACAAATACACATCAAACCTGCATACATGTGCATGTGCACCCCAATCCAAACTATGAAGTACCTTATGTTATTGTCCATGTATCACTTAAGTTCTATATGCTCGTACATCTATAACTGCGACAAGAAGCGAGAAGAAGTCGAACAATGTAAATAGTAGATCACATTAGTATGTATAGTATAGTTGAACTTGAAGTGTCATTGCTACATCCTTTTCCTTGTCTATCCATGACCTGTACTTAGCTTGTTAGTGCACAAACGTAAAGGTCTTTCATTCATTCATTGTTTCCACCATATCCTCAGCCCTGTCTGCAGGTGATCCCAAGCAGCTGCTTCAGTATGGCATCCTGGAGGGCCGGCTGGCGGGGTACCTGTTATGGAGCTGTGTGACAGAGAACGTGGTGGAAGGGTACGACCTGTGTGTCCAACTCCTCAGGCACACCTACACACACGCACCGCTAGTCAACTTCAGCCACTACGCACGGATACTGTACGGCCTCAAAGTCAAGGTGTGTACAATCTTCAACCTTTATTTTCTTTCTGTTTTGGTTCACGCAAAGTAGAATATGTAATGCAATCATACAGAATCTACAGAATTTTAATCTTGAAGTTGAATTTGTAATATTCGTTTAGCCATGTTTGTCACTGTAAATGTTGTAAAATGTATGTTTATGCTGTTTCCTGTGAGACACTCTACATAGCCACTTCAAGCAACTGAGTTTGTGTCACACAGACTAGTACATGTACATCATGTATATAGACCTACATAACATGCCTATACCAGCATTGGGAGAATACTAATACAGTATATTCATTTACATGTAGTAGTCTTGGATACATGTGGGTAGTATCTTGACTTGACCTGAATAGGACTGATTTCCAAGGGAGCCCATAACAAACTTAGGATAGGATAGGAGGTCATAAGTAAAACAGTGAAATAAACTTCTGTTGTACTAACAAATGATTGAATGAATGAATTTGACACAATGTTCCATGTACAGGTGATGCTGCACATCCTGGCAGACAGGTTTGAGTTGTGCCTCGCTAGCTCCAAACTTAAGGAGCTGTTTCCTAAAGAGGGAGAAAAACTACCCCCACTGCTAAAACATGATGCAACAGTAAGTACAATCGCGGAATATTTTTCCCGCTTAACACAAAAGAATATGATGATCCAAAAAAGCTACCCTTAGCATGAGGAAGGCTACATCTACTAATCTTACTTGTCAAATTGTTGTCTTTAAATCAAGATTATCATCATGTTCTAATGAAAGAATAAAAGTGGTACCTGTTCTTCAGAATTGTTCAAATATACATCTTTGTACTTCCTTTCTTAAATCTACTATACAGGAAATTGATCTACATCTATAGCTGGAAGCTTTCTTAATGTTAGCAACTTTTGCATTTTGATTACTGCTTGTAAGTTCAGCAAATCTTTCTTCTGCTTTTGCTTTTTTGCTGATCTCACTCACTCCACGTCATGTACCATCATTTCCTTACAGTTAGAGAGACAACTGAACCAGCTGAACCGGCGGTCCGGCCAGTTCCGTCAGCTGGCCCTGGACCTGATCCTGGACCGGGAGAAGCGAGAGGGGTACCTCCGGCACGAGGTGGAGGAGGAGTTCGGAGCGGAGTTCTCCCTCGCACTGCACGACCTCGTGGCCAAGTTTGTTCAGACGGTGGAGGACTATCTACCCGCACCTGTCATTCAGGAGGTTGGTGTTTGAAACAAGTTCTTCTTTGGTTTTCTATTTTTATCTGTATAGCCTAAGCCTACATATAATTACCCTTGGGCATACATTGTAACACACCAGCTTCTATCTGTATCTGTGTACTAGCCAGAATAACTGCCTATGGCATAACACACCAGCTTCTGTATCTGTATAGCCGGTATAACCACCCTTCAGACTAACACACCAATCTGTATAGCCGGTATATTTGCCATACGACACCAGCTTCAAAGGCATATTAGCAGTTGGTACTAGCATCATACTGAACAACCTGTTACACTTAACCTTTGAACATCTAGCTGCAAGCATTGTTTAAAGCTTTTTAGGTATGACTGCTGAACAATTTCAAAGATAAAGGCCAAGTGATAGAAATATTAAAAGGCTATTTTGCAGCAGAGTTAAGGAAAAAATATAGGTTGTTGTGATAAGTTTTTCGCAAAATCCGGTGACACGAACCCCTAGAAATTCCAAATAGAACGCAGCTATTTGGGTCATCAGGCGACAAACCGCATCACCCTTGCTCGCGGACTAATACCAAAAACGCTTCGCTGGCCGTCCAACTTCACCGCGCCAAAAAACACTACAATCCCAAGGCTTTTTGATCAATTCAAAACCTAGTGGAAAATCTACAGCGATCGCCGAGCTATGGGGAGCCAAACCTAGCGTGACAACCTCGCAGATCCGGCGATTTACTGCGCACTATTTGGAACCCTGGTCAGAATTAAACTCCGACCCGGAACCTTAAGGAGATTATTTTTCATAAAAAATTATCATAATTCTTCAGACACATCATATCTATCATATATCCAAATTTTACATGTCTGTGATGAGTACTTTTCCCGCGGCAGGGGTTTAAAGTCATGTGAAAAATGCAGTGTTCTAAGGCTATATTGCCAAGTCTCGGGTTCCAGGCAGCGTCACAATGGGGCAATTAGAAAAATACCGTTATTTCAAACATCGCTTTTCTCAAACAGTTATAACGGAAATAAAAGTCTGCTCTGGAGCTTGGCTATGGATATGTGTGTTCTTTTCGTGATTTCGGTGCCGCATACTTGCAGAAAACGTTCTTAACAGTTGGTATCGAAGACGTCACGCAGTGACGTCATCGGGTCCCCTGGGAAAACAGTATGGGGTCGCGTTTTAGGTTCGTCACTTTAAAGTAAAAGGAAGAATTCGTCAGATTTCGACCTTGAATGATAGACCAGGGTTCGCACTTTCCGAATCAAACGCGTCCGACACCGAACTCTTCACTATTTCGCCGTGAATGGCCTATTAAGTAGCAAAGCGCTCCTTAAATGTGTGAAAGGCTGCATTATTACGAGGTGCAAAACACAATCTGGGTGATATTGCCGTGGCTAGGATCAAGAAGTTGAAATAAGCGCTGCAGAGAGGTGGGGAGTACTTATTAGGCTATCATTTAACACCACCCAAAGGAAAGAAAGTCGCGAATTTAAGGAGCCCTGAACCGAACATCAGAAAACCCAGTTTTGCCTTAAGAAGGCTTAAAACACTTCGATTTTGCTGTTAAATGTCAGTTTAAGTCATCATAAATAGAGAAACTTCGCCGAAATTATACGAAAGTCAAATTCAGAGGTCGACTCATATAAAATGACATAGAAGTGAATTCATGCAAGAACTGTTTACCTTCCAGAAACGATAAAAATTGCCCTGACGGGGATTTCGGTGGGGGGGGCGGGAAAGGGGGAGGGGGGGCGCCTAGGGCCGGGCATAAATATACGGACTTTCTTACTCGAAAAAAGCAAAATGATGCGGTTTTTTGTCAGAATCGGATAACTTTTGCCAAAAACTTTTAAATCCATACGAATGACGTCATCGATGACGTCATTTTTTGCGCATGCGCCGTGCTTTTAAGGTCTCGGACCGGAGTTTTTTTCACGATTTTGGATCCGGTGGACACCCTCAGACCGAAGGGCTATAACTCCGCCAAAAAAAGTACGCCGGGAAATCTCATTACATCAGTCAACGAAGGTTTCCAGCCGGCTTCCGATACAATTTTGGTTATTGTCCGTCGACTCTATAATTTGGGTAGAAACTGTAGTTAAACGTAAATTTTGGATACGAAAAATGTAGTTTTTTTGCAGTTTTTTCAACGGACCTGCTTGGAAAAAACGAATTTTCCCAGGCTAACGGTTTATATGCTGAAATAGCTTACTACTTTCTGTTTCTGAAAAACAGAAAAAAAATATAGGTTGTTGTGATAAGTTTTTCGCAAAATCCGGTGACACGAACCCCTAGAAATTCCAAATAGAACGCAGCTATTTGGGTCATCAGGCGACAAACCGCATCACCCTTGCTCGCGGACTAATACCAAAAACGCTTCGCTGGCCGTCCAACTTCACCGCGCCAAAAAACACTACAATCCCAAGGCTTTTTGATCAATTCAAAACCTAGTGGAAAATCTACAGCGATCGCCGAGCTATGGGGAGCCAAACCTAGCGTGACAACCTCGCAGATCCGGCGATTTACTGCGCACTATTTGGAACCCTGGTCAGAATTAAACTCCGACCCGGAACCTTAAGGTTACATGAACATATGTACTCTGTGTTTCAGATCTGCTCGAGTGAACTGTACCTCACCCCTCCTGACGGCTGCTCTCATGCTGTGTCCAGCCTTCTCACAGTCCTAGAAGCTACAAATGGCAACCCTAGTGCTGCCAACCTCACCCAACTGGTGCACGAACTTCACAATGTAAGCACAACGAAGACCGACAAAAGAAACTGCTCACCTGGTAGAAACGAAGTAAAACTGCACTCAAGTTTCAAAAGCCCGAAAACAAAGGACAGGAAAGCTGAAATTCGCGGAAATTGTTCAATGAAACTGCAATTTAAGGGAAGAGGCAGTGCCACACAGGGATCAACTTCTACGGAAAGTTCTGACTCTGTATGTTCTGGGGTAACCCCTATTCCTCAGTCAGATTCAAGCAATGAGGAACTATCACAAGTGTCGAGTGAGTTACATTCAGACTGCTCCACTGGAGGCAAAAAGGAAACAAAGACCAGGAAACAAAACTGTTCACCTGGTAGAAAGGAGGTCAAACTGTCAAAACCACACTCAAGTTTCAAAAGCCCTGAAAGAAAGGATAAGACAGTTAAATCGCACAGAAATTCTTCAGTGAGACCAAAATCTAAAGAGAAAGGCAGTAGCACAGGGTCAACTTCTACAGAAAGTTCAGACTCGCAGAGAACAGTATGTTCTGGGGTATCTATTTTGTCAGATTCAAGCAATGAGGAACTAGTGCAAGTGTCAAATGAATTTCGTTCTGACTGCTCCACTGGAGGTAAAAAGGAAACAAGATTTCCAAGAGAAACAGATACAACAAATGTTACAGGAGTGAATGCTTCACTGCGTAGCAACAAGTTGTGTATAGGCACTAAAACGAAAGGATCAGAAACCGAGGACAGTGCAACAAACGTAGAAGTTTTAAACAAAGTAGAAGAAAAAGCCCAACCAAGGATGTCATGGAACTCGTGGAAAAACAGCTTAAAAAAGCATCTCGTCAGTAGCAACTCAAGAGAAGGTAAGGGGGTGGAAAGTTTCTCGGTAGAGAAACAGAAGATGCAAGTATCCACAGAAGATAGCAGTGATGAAACACAGTTTAGCCAAGGAAGTCAAGGGGAGGGAAATCAAGGGAATGATTCAGTCCACGATGACAAGATAGGAGCAGAGAAAAGGACAATCAGAAACGAAGATGAACCTTTAAGGGTGAAGAACCTTGCTTCTCCTATAGTTATTACATTAGACAGTAGCACTGACGAGGACATGGTTACCTCTCCCCTTCTTTTTGCACACTTGGAGGAAGACTCTGCCTGGAAGACAACAAAGAGGCAGAGAGAAGATGAACAACTTTCAACAGAGCATTCCAAAAAGAGACGAAAGCTGGATTTGCAAGAAAACATCAGTGAAAAAATATCAACAAACATTATTCAAGTTCCAGAAGCAAACATGCAGAAGAAAACATTAAAAAGAAACAAGAAAACATTAAATGTTGACAAAACTCAAGTTAAGGAAAAAGGTTGTGAGAATCATGAGAGGAAATACACTGCAGAAGAAGTAGCTAACCAATTAAGTTGTTCCAGTGAACATGCAGCTGATGACACAGCAAAGAAGTCAGAAGATGAAGACACTTGTGCAGAGGGCACTTCAACAAGCCAAGTCAGCTTGTTTCCAAGTGCTGAGAGGTAAGCATGTGTTCTATTTGTATGGTCAATCTATTGCAAAATAAAATTATAATAATATTATCATAATGATTATATTATATAGTATAGTTTGCTTTATTTCAAAATCTGTCTCTGTAATACCGGTAGTATATCTCAGTCACTCAGTCAAATGACAACCATCTTACCAGACCCTTGCATACACCCTGGACTGTTAAGAACCATAGACATAACACTTTCTTAGTTTCTTTTCTTTATTCTTTACCTGAAGTAATGTGTTTCATCTCCTGATCATTTTCTAGTCTTGGATTTACACTCCTTTGGTTGTCAAATTTTTTAGCAGATGTGCGTTGACAACCTGTGTTATTGATCCAATTTTCAGGCACAGTGTGGAGGAAGTACAAGAGACGCCTTTGGAATCTTCAAATTCGTGTTCCACTGTTGGCTCACGAGGTGACACTCAGCCCTTCTTTCCTGTCCTTCAAGAAGCTACACTGAACAAAGATGATGAGACTACCATCACTGAGTGTACTGGTACTGGTACATTCTTAGAACCAAAAGGTGGAGACAATCTCATGTACAAAGGAAGTACTGAATCTTCAACAGAAGATGTAAGACCATCTCAAGAGGCTGGTAGGTTTAGCCTTGCCAATGTCTCTTTCAGTGGAAGCACAACTAGTGATACTACACAAAGACAAGACTTTCCACTGACTCCTATGGAAAGCACTCCGAGTGCAAATGCGGAGGAGCATATCGATGCTAGCCCTCATGGAAAAGAAGAGGAAGACAGTCTAGAACAGTGGGATAAAATGGTCCACTGGGCCATACAGAGCACTCCAACTGGTGTAGCAAGTCTAGCAGACATTTGCCAGTATATTACAGAGAACTTCCCACATCATAGCAGCCTGGACATTGTAGCACAGTCAGTGTGCAGGGTGCTATCCACTCACAAGTGTTTCCAGGTGGTTTGTGGTCCACGAGAGATAAAATGGACACTGAGTGCTGCTTGTGGCCATAAGTCCTTACCAGGCCCTTCATTTGTGCCAACAGATCTAGAGAGAGAGTCCAGCCCAGAGAATTCAGACGTTACAAGCTCAACTCCTGATGGTATAGATTCAGCAACTAAAGCATTAACGTCGAATCTAAGCAGGGAAGACATACAGACTTTGAATTCCATGATGGAAGAAGAAGAAGAGAAAAATCTCTTGCCAGACTCTGAGTCTACATGTATGACTACAGAGGAAGAAACAGCCGTACTCAGCAACAAGACACCTGACAGAGGAGCGGATAGATGCAGTGATAACACTGTCAGTAGTTCCCAGGATAATGCATCAAACGTTCAGTGTACATTCAGCTTTAGCAGCAGTAATAACAGCAACTCTTGCACATTTGACAGGATTCTGAAGAAAGCAGAATTGGAGGAAGAAGAAAGAGGTACAATGCTCACATCCCCACCTTACTTTGAGAAGCCAGAGCAGATCAACAATAAGTTAAGAATGGCACATACAGACAGTGAGAACTCTGGGACAGTGCTCACATCCCCTCCTTACTTTGAGAAGCCAGAGCAGATCAACAATAAGTTAAGAATGGCACATACAGACAGTGAGAACTCTGGGACAGTGCTCACATCCCCTCCTTACTTTGAGAAGCCAGAGCAGACCAGCGATAAGTCAAGAGTGGCACATACAGACAGTGAGAACTCTGGGACAGAGAAGGGATCTCATTCCCAGAGCTCAGATGAGTCCATCATCCCGCCATCGCCCCAGGAGGAGCAAAGGGCAAAGGTTGTGACCTTTACCAGAACTCGGAGAGCATTAGCTATTCCTCACACCTGTAGAAAAGGTACAATATATGACACTGTAAATTCAGTCATTTTTGCCAGAATTTAATTTAGCAGTATGATTGAAAATATGTTTTTTGCTTTGTTTTAGAAGTTTGCAGGATAAAACAATATTGTAGCACAAAAGCACATTTGACAGATTTTTTTGGCCTTTCATACTACTATGAAAAGAAGGTTTTTAGGAGTTCAACAGTTAAGGCTTTTTAGTTATACCATATAGAGAATCTGTCTTTTAAGACAGGTTACCAATCTATTTTAGGGGTCATCTATTTCACTGGTAAACCTCATTGCAATTGTCAGTCTAAAAATATTACGATCTTACTGAATATCTACCGGTACTTGGAGATCTGAAGTCAGCTATACTTTATTTCAATATTTCATACATGTATGTATTATCAATAGTCTATCTGTGACCTGTTTATTTGTGAACTGTTTCTTTTTCAGCTGAAAAAGAAGTGTGCTCCTTGTTAGAGGAAGGAGAAGACATGATTGTGAGTGACTCAGACAGCGATAGTGAGAGCACAGTTGTGTATTACCAGGAGAATGAAGAGGAGTCAGACACGGAGTCTTATGTCATCCCAAACTCACACGAGCAAGACGACTCCTTGAGCAGTGTCTCTGGGCCCAAGGTGTGTCAAAGTCTCCTTATATCTCATAAATACAAGAATGTGTCTGTCATACTTTGTACAGTTTAATGTGTATGTGTATCTGTATCTGTATTTGTATCGGGTATAACCACCCTTCAGCCTAACCACATCAGCTGCTGTATCTGTATAGCCTGTATACAAATGTAACTGCCCTTCAGTGTAACACACTTAGCTTCTGTTTCTGTATCTGTATAGCCTGTATAACTGCCCTTCAGCATAACACACCTTCGCAGGCACACTGCTCGGTAGTACTTGCACCTGGTTACACTGAACTGCCTGTCATGCCCAACATTTGCACAGTGACGACATGTACAGAACCTCCCTGGGGTTTGAACCCCTAACCTTCCGAATGCAAGGCAAACATTCTTTATGCCAGTGATATTGAAGACTTTCGTGTTTGAAAACTGTGGTGATGTGTGTTTTTCAGGCTCCTTTGCTTGGAGTATCGACTCGGTCTGCCCTCTGGACTAAGAACAACACCCTGGTGCCATCTCTGTATCAGCATCTCAGCCCCTGCCCTGTCAGGCCTTGTGTTGTACTTCTTCATAGACTCAGGGTAAGGAGAAATCTCCAAGCAGATCCTAGGGTGGCAAAAGACAGTATCAAATTGGACAGGCAGTATCCAGTCGCCACAGAGGGTCTAATATGTCACCCAAGGGTATTGGACCCTCTGTGGCGACTGGATACTGCCTGGCCAATTTGATACTGTCTTTTGCCACCTTAGGATCTGCTTGGAGATTAGGTAAAGGAACATGGTTTTCTGATTTAGATTCCAGGGCTTGAAATACCTACTGCTTATGCAGGTTAGTGCAGGTAAAACTGGAGTGATACAGGTCATATTTTTACTGACATTGTCTGTGTCTGCACTGAATCTGCACCAGTCCAAAGTAGCATCACATTATCCCAGTCTTTACATTTGAATCTTTCTTCGTAGTTTAAAGGAACATTTTGGTTAGACCAGTCTACAGGTTTACACCTTAAATATTAGCTGACATTGCCTGATAACTAATCAAAACAAGAAGTAACATTTCATAATACTGTCAGGTACCTTAAACACCTACATTAAAACATTATCATTTTAGGCATTCTGGAGAATGTCTTTTAACACCAGGATATCTGAAGTGTGCATACCTAAGGGATTACTGATGCTATGAACTTTGACTTAAAATCTTTTTCTCTCCTTGCAGCCAGATGACTTGAGACCTCATCTCAAAAAGTCCTGAAAAGGATCACCCCTGCTGCAGCTATCCTGCCATGTACAGCTGATTCATAATACAAGTAGTACTAGTAATATATGCAGTATGGTTCAGTAAGGACTAAGGAGGTTCCTTGTGTTCATACCATAGTGGTAGAATTCTATCCTCATACAGAGGAAACTTGTAGTAGTAGCAAGATGTTATGCATTAAATCACCTTCACCTTGTCCCACGCATTAATGCTGTTACCCACAAGTATAAACAGTTATCCATACGTATAAACAGGACCTCTAAATATCATGTGTTTGCATTGTTATTGTAATCACATTAGATTTATCGAAAATCGTTCAATATTTTGGGAATGTTATGTTTTGGGACCGTCTTGTTTTGGGACCGTCATGTTTTGGGACTGTAATGTTTTGGGACTGTCATACATGTATCTTGGATTGTCATGTTTTTACCTAATTGTTCATGGATGAAGATATTGCTTCAAAATTATGACTGATATTGAATAAATCTAATACTAGTAATAGATGTATAAAACTAAGGACAATTGTCTATGATGATGAAAACTAATCTTGAAAGTTATCTGTGTTGGTAGTCATGACTTCATAATGATGCAAAGTTGTCATGTTATCAGAGAGAAGAAAGACAGGAATAAATACATAACTTTACCTCATCTGGCTCAATTGTCTATAAGTGTATGTTATTGTTATTCAAAACTATATGTATCAATGGACTAAATTTTAAAGAGTCATTGCTTTCTGCAAAAATACTTAGAAGTATATAATTACTTATACTATTTTAGAAGGATGTGTGAAAATCCTTTAATTTCTGGTGCTCCAGCTTAGTCATTTTTCTGGGAAATTTGGAGAACCAAATTTCCAGAACCAAATTTTTACAACCAACCAACCAACCAACCAACCAATTGAATTGATTTGGCCTTACTTTCGGACCTTTGGGCTTGGGATCTGTCAGAAGATATTAAATTTCTAAGCAGATTTTTTCGGTAACTGCAAAAACAGCATCAAATTGGCAAGGCAGTTTCCATTTGCCATCCAAAAGGACTCTATCTGGAGTGCTCGATGGCCAGTTCTCTATTAAACCGTAACAATTCGCCACCAGACATCTGCTTGGAGAAAGGTGTCTAACCCGAGTAACCGACCGGACATGTGACGTAACTCCAGATGTATACTGGATCATTCCATTACGGAATTGGAATAGGGGAGGCTATTGCGATTCGGAATCACTACTATATTTCACGGCTACGAAAACCTAATTGATATCATTCTTGCATTCAAAATGACATTGCAACTCGTCAAATTGCGACAAATGTGTCGAAAAAAGTCTTTTATTGACGCCAAGATTGATTTTAGTGCGCAACCACCCTAATCTTGAATGGTAGATTCCCAAAAAGGTCAACGTTCGTACGGTGATGCAATGCGGAGCGGCATGGCGTGATTACGGGTTTGCAGATACCTTTGTACGAAAATCCCTGAATCTTACGACTTCTTCGCATCGAAGACAAGCTTGATACAGTGCAATCGGATCGTCGATCAATGTAGGTATGTTGCCGCTTCTTTCACAACTTGGACATTTCCGAAATTTGAAAATGATTTTCTGTGGTTAGCAAGAGTGGGGAGGGGGGTAGGGGCGGGGCTATGGGTGATTGCTTGGATTTATTAGTAGTATATGATATATCGAAATGTCGGAAGTTGGAAAAGAACGTTGTATACTGTAGATATTTCGTTTAAGCGTAGGCTACCTTCCACATAAAAACGACTAACTGATGAAAAATTCAGAAAAATTGGCAGTCTTTTGTTCGTTCCAGTTTCATCCCTAACTCTATTGTTATATCAATTAATCGATTAATCAATCAATAACATTTATATTTGACTAGAATGCCCTGTCGGCCTGGAAATAATCTAGGAACCTCCTTGGTTACATAAAATGTAACAAAAAGAAGGAGTGAGGACATGCTCACTGGACATGGGGGGATTTGAACTAATCTCCAAGCAGATCCCTTTCGGTGGCAAGATCATTAGCCAGAGGAGTTTGTTCAGCCACTAATGGACACTCCTCTAGCTCTGTCCAATGGATACTGTCTTGCCACCGTATGATCTGCTTGGAGATTAATTTGAACAGTATTATACTAGGGGGTAGCTAAATAGGGGTGTCATCAACTCTTTCTCCTCATTTATCTTTTGAATGTCAGTTTTTTTTAAAATTCCTTTTGACCCACCCATCAGCACAAAGAGGAAGAGCAAAAAAGGATGTACAAAAATGTCTTTCCCCTTTCACTATACTGTACAGCAGAATTGCTTCAATTGTGCATTTTCAAATTAAAACATGGTGAAACCTCCCTTTCCTGTCCTGAATTAAAATACTGCAAAAGTTTCAGGATGTACAGTGATCCATGTCAAACAGGTGTGGTAGCCCTTTGTTGGAGCCGATTTGTTCAAGTCATATTTACTGTACACAGTACACAGAAACACCTCCCAAAACCCACTCATCGCAGAAGAAATGGGCACTTCAACTTCCTCTGCTTCCAACTAAAGAAGCCACCCCCCAAAGCTTAGATTGTAATATATCTATTCCGTAGCAGTTCTTAGAACTGTAACAGTGGGTTTTCCTGTTTCTACTTGCTCCTATTTGTCTCAGAACAAACACTTTTCCACCTGCCACCATCGGTAGCTTGTAAGTTATCTGTATACTCTTTCTATGTTTTATGTTGTAATTAGCCCTTGGTCAACGACTTGCACATAAAACTATTTGTGCACATATGAGGGTCGGTATACATCAAGGGTATACAAATTAGTTTTTGAGGTCAGTCTTGGAGGGTAAGTAAGTATTGTTCTAGTCTACTTCAAGTGACAAAAGCCCTTAATTGATTTTGTTTGACCCAGGCGACAGCTGGCTTTTTGTGGATCTCTCTGCTTTGCCTGTGAAGCACGTCAAAGGCATCTTGAAAAATTCATTTGTTTTTCTGCTACTCTCCAAGCAGAGGTTTAGTCTTTGGTTTTTTTAAACATCTTTTTAGGCATTTTTATTGGGCTTTCTTTTTTGTTCTGGTATTTTTTTTTTGTCAGCTGAACTTTGGATGGGGTATTGGATACTGCCAAGATAGTGAGTGTGTGTGTGTGTGTGTGTGTGAGTGCCCTGCCAACGATTACTGTCATATCAATTTGATACTGTCTTTCTAATTTGATACTGTCTTATCAATTTGATACCGTCTTGCACTCACCAAAAGATTTGCTTAGACAAGATTATTTTACTGCTCAAAAAATGATTTACTAGGTCTTCTTTTCCAAACCTGTTTCCCACCTAACATCTGCTTGGACATTACATCACCGGACATATTCAAGGTCATTGACCTACATAGTTCTTTGGGTCATCCAGACTACAGGGCACTGTAGCCATGGCAACAGCGGAACCAATGGATGATGATGAGAGGTATTTGGGTTAGAATGGTGAGAGAGTTAGTTACGTCATAGCCTCCACAGCATGCCAAAATCTGGGGGTCTTCAGGGTCTTTGGGAACTTTTATGTACTATTTTCTGATTGCATATAGTCTATTATAGACTACATAGCCGGCCTGATTGAATTGGAACTTTGCCAATCAGAAAGCCAAACTGCTACGGAGGTTAGTTACATCACATGTACAACTCCTAGAAGTATCTGCTTGGAGATCACTTGACATGCCCCAAGTGCATGACATTGTAGACTCGACCAGTAGGTCGTTGGAGTATGATCCTATCGGCAACCAGTAGGTCGTTCTGACTCCAATCCTTCGTGTTATGCAACCAGAAGGTCCAGTGCAGTTACAGGTCACCCGTCTCAAGGAGGCACACACGGTGAGGTCATTCGATATCCCATACGCTTCATTGGTTGGTTGCCAATGGTTAGGTGGGCGGGGCTAGCCGCTGAAGCACTCCCGACCAGGCATGACTAGGCAAATTGTTGGTAGCTTCCAATATGGGTGTGGCGTCGTTTTTAGATTAGCAAGAAAAACAACTTTTACCAGGCCGTTGATTGATGAATGATTCAGGAGCTTCTGTTCAGAAGATAAGCTGTAAGAAAATCCTTGCTTAGTGCAGAAAAAGACCCATATGAGCTGTTAAGAAAGCTATTTTTCTGCATGGTCTAACTTGACCCACCTATATGCAGAGTGGTATCTCCAACTTTAAACCTTTGAGCTTCAGTGAAAGGATTTGACATCTCAAGCTTTGTCAAATGACATTCCTCCGGGGCAAATTCTGACCACTGTCTGCTGGCTCTGAAAATGTGAGGTATTTTGCCTTTGTTTTTAACCCTTTTGGATAAAGAATTTGGGCCAGAAAGATTTCTTGAATCTGGGTTTTACATTTAGGCACTTGTTCCTGAATCAGTTCTAATTCCAGTGCTGGCTTGAAGTTCAGAGTCAAGTGTCAAGCTTAGAAACCTGGACTGTGGTAGGTTTCCAGTTCTGTATCTGTATAGTCGGTATACTATAAGTATAACTGCCCCTCAGCATAACATACCAGCTTCGCAGGCATGCTAGCTATATTACACCGAATGAGCTAATATAACTTACCTTTGCCTATATATAACTGTAGACGTTGTTTAAAGCTATCTAGCTAGTGATGATCCTGTACTTGGTTGTTCCACTCTACAATAGTTCTAGGGATATAGTTTCTTCTTGACTTCAAACAGTTCCTTAAAATCTACCATTTCAAATTCAAATCAATGTTCCTTTCGACAAGAAGAACATGCTAGAAAAGTTCCCTTTTTCTATATTACTAGACTATTAGTACATATATACTAGTGAGTGATGTCGTTTGGAATATGACTCTATCCTGACTAGTAATGGACTGTGACAAATATAGGTGTGTGTGTATTTTTATTTGCTGCATTAATTGTTATCACCCATGAAGTATGAAAGAAATATTGGCAGTGGTTTTGAACAGTTTTAGTATGATCCATTTTCTGATAGGTGCAGGTAAAACTTGTCTTATGCAGGTACTAGTACATTGTAATTTTCAATGTCACCTGTGCAAAAGTTCAGGTACAATTTATACACAAAACGGGCGTCGATTTCGAGCCCTGTAAGTCCTGTTCAGGTTTACGAGGAATAAGAAATTAAGAAGATAAAAGCGGATAGACCTTGACATGAATAATTTATAAAACAATCCTCGCATCTGGTCATAAATAGATCACACGAGAATTACCGGGTACTTTTATGTTGGGTCAACTTTTACAGAAATGGAAAAATATTATGTACATTAGCAGGATGTTAACCTTTACTTTGCTAAGGTAGCCTTTTGGCGCTTAATTTGCCTTTTGGCGCTTAATTTGTAATTAGTTAAAGGCTCAGAGTCAGACAGCAGGGAGAAGGTATAGATAATGTGTTTAGAGTACTCTCCAAGTAGAGGTTGGTGGGAAAGATCGTTGCCTTTTTATATATGCCCCGTTTTTTTCTGTCGCTACGGAGCATATATAGAAAGGCAACAATCTTCCCCGCCAACCTC